GATGTGATATACCAGAATTCTCTTCTCAGACCTATGGACCAGGAAAAATCCGTCTTCACTGTGCAAATATGTGAGATCATGGGAAAACCAAAAAGGAGTCCCCTTGGAGGCCCCCCTTGAAGCCAGCTGCTGGACGGCCAGACACGGAAGCTTACTGTGGGCGAGCACTCCAGCCCCAAATGAAGAAAGAGGTTGCACTGTATAAGGAAATGCTGCTGATTAGACTTCAGAGGAAACTATTTAGCAAAGGTGCATACAAATCACAGAGAACATACAGGCTCAAGAGAGAAGTCCTGGGGACCCATTTTAAGGAGAATTTTTCTATCAAGTAGAGGAAGAGACCGAATAGGATTAAATAGGGGGAACAAAATATGTTTAAATGATACAGGGAAAAGGAAAAATCAGCCGAGGGAGAAGTCAAGGAGAAAAATAAGGCAGGTAGCACAGCGCGGTGACGACAGCAATGCTGCGGTGGGAACCGGAGGGCGTCAGACACGGCCGGTGCTGATGAAGGCGCAGGCCGGCTGGACTTAAGCACAGGGGAGGGCCGAGAACAGGACTTCACTCTTGGAGAAATGGTGACTTTGGCAGCTGAGGGGTAGCGTTGTGATGCCCGCAGCTGTGCAGCGGCTCATTCTAATTGTACATGTATGAGAAAAAAAAAGCAAATAAAAAAAATAATCCAGAAGTTATTTAAGGGAACACAACATGGTAGAATCAGCCAAAACCCTACTTTAGAGCACAGGAGAATAAATTGTAATTGTGGACTCGAAATAGTAAGAAAAGTTTGGATTATCATCTGTTTACTAAAGCAGAAAATGAGTGTAACAATAGTTTTTAAATAACAATCAAAAATACGTGGAAAAACATTATCAGCGCTAGTACTGAGAAACAATGGGAAAAATAGGTCATCGGAGACATGTTGAACCACACAGCAAAGCCGAGCTGAGAAGCTTCCGTGACTTCATAAAGTACCTTCAACTGCAGAGTCAAAGTGCTTCTCACATGCAGTGCAACATTTGTGTGCATGTAATTTTATAGTACATATATATTATCTTATGTTCTCTTCCTCTGAAATAGGAAAAAGATATAAAAACAAAGACATTAAAAGACTTAATTAACCAAGGACTCACGAATGACAGTTCCTGAGGGAGAGAAGGCACATGTAACTTGACAGAAGGGACTATGAATGGGAGCCAGTATGAGGGAAAGTCAGGAGGAGCCGTATTTATCACCGTGAATTAGAAAAGAATGCAAAGTCTCAAAATATCCGCAGAGGAGACGCTCTTTCCGTGGCAGAGCATGGCTTTCCATGCAGGACAGTGATGCTCTGTGCCTTTTACTCCTCTCTTTCCCTACCTGGTGGGCTCTTGAAGACATTCATCCCCACTTCCCCATTCCCCTTCCCTGAAGAGACCCAGGGGGTGAAGGGAAGGCTAGACCTGTACCCCGTACATTACACGTACCCACCTCTCTCTCTCTCTCTCTCTCTCTCTCTCTCTCTCTCTCTCTCTCTGTCTCCCGCTTTCTGTCTCTCCCCATTTTCAGCACACAGTTTGTCCAGACTCCTGACCACCCACCACCACTTACAGGCACGGTATGGCATAGCCTCAGACAGCAATTAGATTCATATCCAGTAAATCCTGCATCGTGCTCTGTGCGACAATAAATATAATAATGTGCTTATATAAGTTTTATACTCATGACAAATAAGATATTAATGGGAATAGCTTCTCAACATCATAAATTACATCTGCTTGTACCTTGTTGTTAGTTACTTGTCATGTTCTTTTTACAGTTTCAATGGGCATTTGTACTGGTGTCAGCATCAGTGTTGGAACAGAATCACGTAATCCCTGACGGTGACTGAAGCCAGGGTTTCAGAGTTAGACATGTCTGTGTTTGAATCCACCTCTGCTGTTTTTTAGCTTTATGGCCTTTAGCAAGCTATTTAATCCCTAAATTCTCACACAGTTATAGGAAGAATTAAATGAGATAATCCAAGGGCACGGCTGCGCCTGCCACCGACTATGCACGCGTGTCACAACGGTGAGCTGCTTACGCTCGTCTTTCCCATTTCCCATGATTTTCTCCTAAATCGTGCAGTGAGAGTCCCTCTGGGATTCCTGTGGGATTTTCAGCAGTGGCTCCCTGGTGAAAGATAAACTTCAGTAGTTAGGATGCTTGGTAAGGTAACATGGAAACCTGACACAAAAACAAAGTTTTGCAAACCTCCCCGCAGCAGAAAGAGAAGACCAGGGAAGAAGCTGCTAATTAGCCAGAGGCGCAATGATGTATTGTGACTGTCAAAGCGAAGGAGCCAAGTTGGAACTATTTTTGCTGCAGAGATAGCCCACCTTCAAGAAGGGCCATGTTTCCCAGTGTTTTAATCTGAAAGACATAAATCACAACTGAAAAGCTCCCTGCATTAGTAATGGAGAGAAATGCCTACATTCTAGCAAGGTTTTCATGATACAAGACAGGTTTTCATACATCTGAGATCAGGAAAAATAATTATCAATCAAAGATAACCTCCGATACTGGTTTGAAGTAAAATCAGAGGTCTGTGAAAGCCAAGAAAACAGAGAAGACTGGGTTGTCTCTGCAATTTTAAGGAGCTCATCACCAGAAATACTGTCTTACAAAGTTTCAGCTGTACGTGATTTTGAAACTTTAATGATTTAATGCCTGCCAGACAAAGAAACAGAAGGGACGTCAAAAACCAAAAACAGGTATAACTGTCTCATCAGCATACAAACGGAGGCTGACATCATGACGATAAAAAAAATCATCCCAGGGCCAGAGAATGTAAACCAGAATAATGTCCAAACACAAATCTCACGGTGCTTTGGAAGAATATCACTGGAAATTGATGAAAGAAGGGTAATGTACACTATCTGCTCCCCAGAGAATGGAGAGTTCACAGAGAACAGTCAGTGGCCCTAGAAGAACCCTTTGCTATGCAAATAAGCTGGGACATCCATCCAAATGTACTCTAAATCAAGATTATCTGTCACTCCTCTGTGCTGCAGCCTGTAGGACTGTGGAAGCTTAATCACATTTATTACCTAACCCATGAACATATGGGCTCTTTGATCAGAAAGTAACTTTTGGCCCCAACTCACCATTCCTACAACATCATTCAAGACTGTGCATTCAGAGTATTTGTTTTGCCCAGACAACTGGGTTATGGAGGAACAAAAGGCTTAAATTGTTAGCAACTACTAGACTATAAAATTCTTACTAAACAGTCACTTTCTTGAAAGCTCAGACCATTTTTTATTAAATTTTTGCAATTAGTAGACTATGTCCCTTGGGTGGTTTCTCAATTAAGATTAAATAGGGACCTCAAAAAAGTGGGGGGGGGGGAAATGAGAGAACAAAAAATTAAAGAGGGAATGAAGAAAAGAAAGGGGAAAATGCAGAAAGAAATAGGGAGGGGTAAAAAGTAAAAAATCAGTGGCATTCCAATCACTAACTCTAAAATCCAGATGGAGAGATACATCAAACCAGGCAGGCAGGCCAAATCAGTCAGTGCAATGTTTTCTAGCCACTGTAACAAACAACCCCAATTTCAGTGACTTCAGATAAAACGTACTTCTTTCTCACGCAGTCATCACCTCTTCGGCAGCCCTACCCGGTGGGCCTCCTCCGAGCGGTAACTCAGAGACAGGAGCTGCTTCCATGCTGTAACTCTGCCTCCTAGAACGTGTGGGTTCTTGGATTCCCACAGGAGGAAAGAAGAGAGTAGTGTTTTATGCTCAGCTCTGGACATGGCCCACGTTCCACCTACACGCCACTGGACAGAACAGTCACTGGCTCCCAGTGTCATCCACGGGGAGTCTGGGAAATGCAGTCTTTTCATGTTTCCAGCACGTGGGGGCCTCTCTATGAGGAAAAGGAGGAATTCAGTTCTGGACAAATCAATCTGAATTAAAGAGCCACACTTGTCACACGGAAGCATGCAATCTGTGTGAGCAGACAGGAACGACTCCATGAAAATAAGGGACTCGAGCAGGAGGAAGAAAGGCATCTTAGGCGGCGGGTACTGTCTGAGCAGAGGTTTGGAGGGCGTGTGCAGGTGGAGCTGAGGGACAAAACTTAGTCCCATCTGCCCGGAGCAGAGGTTTGGAGGAGCTGCAGAGAGTGACAGAAGACCAGAGAAGGCTATTAGACAGATTGGACAGGCTGTTTTATGCCAACCAAGGAGATTTTTGCAGCAGGCCAGATCTCACTACCAGCTGAACAGGCAGGCCTCCGTCACAACTGTCTCAGCACTGACTGGGTGGTTAAGCTACCTACTAAAAGCTGCGAGAGCCAGCGTCCTTATATGCAGCAAAAGCCCACTAAGAGTTCTGCCCAGGCCTCTCCTGGGCCTTGGAGCATGACAGGATAATGAAGGAATTCTTCACAGAACCTGCTGAGGACTAACCAAGGTTTCACTGGGGGCCGAAGAAACTCCCCAGACCTTCACAGCAATGTTTTATTGGGGGTCTAAAGGAACTCCCCTATCCCTATCCTCCACGATTCAGCAGGAGACAAGACATAAAGGTAATCACCTGGACCCACCTCTGTTAAATAAATTTACTGTGGCTCCAGAGGAAGGGCTTCAAAACTCATCCCTTAGTTACAGATTAGAAGTTAACCACTGTGTCTTTAGATGAAGGCACATGTACACAGACACAAAGCTTAAAAGGTCCATAAGCTCTGGAAACGTCATCATGTTGAGCTGGTCCAGGCCTTCTCCTGGTGCCCGGTTACAGAAATAAGCACTCTTCTTGCCCAGTGTATCTGCATCTCGTTATTGGGCCACGAGCGAAAGCAGCCCGACTGTTTGGTGGGAACAAACTGACTTATCCCCACAGGTAATGAAACGCCTTTGTCCCTAGCTCCTGGCTATGAGCAGTGAACAAAGCCAGGGGTCTGTGTGCACATTAAGGAGAAAACCTACTGGGCACAGCAAGCCGGGCAGCCTGCTCTCCAGGTGCCAGGTACCAGTCGTGGCCTCAATACTTAACTGTCTGTGTTTATTGGACAAGTCCATCAAGTCCTTTGTGTTCCAGTTGACTCATCTATAAAATGAGGAGAAACATGCTTAATTCGTAAGAAAGCTCTGGATCCACGTTTAACATATGTGACAGAAAGGAAAGCCACACCAAGGAAGGGCAGCGGCCATGAGGAATGAGGGAGGGAGGGTGGTGTGATGGAGACGGACTTGCCAGGGGGCACGGGGGATACTTACACAGGATTTGGAAATGCGGACATGGAAGACAGAGCGTGAAAGAAATCACAGGCAGAGCCAGTGTCTGAGTCCAGGTAACTGAAGGAACGATGGCATTGCTGAAAAATAATAAAGTACGTGGGTGGGGCTCACTTGATGGGGAAGACCAGGAGTTAGACTGTGCACAAATCCATCTGAACTGAAGGCCAGAAACCAGCTGTCTTCCAGGGAATAAGAGACACCTAACCAACATTCAGGAAGTGACTGTCATTTAAGCTCAGTTTACGATCAATTTAGGTAGAAAGAGTTAAATCCCTATGTGAAGTAAGCATTACAATCACTGTCAGAATTTTTGATTTCTCTAATATGTATTTAAATTAACTGCGAATAGTTTTTTAGCATCTGAATTTATTTATCCCCTTCTTTTTTAAATACACAGGCGTTAAACATCTCCACGAATATCAGCATTGGAAGAAAAATCTGTTTATGATTGAAAGGAACAGCAATGTTCCAAATCTACTTGAGAAGCAGAAAATAAAATTTCTCCTCAGGCTTTTCCTCCAGCAAAACATTCCTGTTGGTGCTGGCTTCCTGCTTCAGTCCTTGGAGCTTTATAGGACCCCAGACACTCAGCTCACTTCCCAGTGCCACCCGCCTTTCCTCGAGTTGGGTGCAGGCCAGCAGCTTCCCCACTTTCTTTAGCTCTCTGTTTTATTTCCAACATACTCCAGGGCTGGTTGAGGAAGGGGAGAGGGGAACCTTGTGATGTCCACTGGGTCCCTGGGGAGGGCATACAAACCTCTCTCATAGGGGCACTGGTTCCTGGGAATTCCAGCCAATGACAGAGCTAGGTGGTCTGAATTGCAGGTTTGAAAATAAGACTAAAGTGAACAGAAAGAACAAATAAGACGATGTAAATGAAATGCAAAAAAAAAAAAAAAGAAAAAAAAAAAGAAATTTCACAGGATTTTGCAAACTTTTGTTAAGCATTCAAATTCCAAAACACTCAACCAAACAACATTCACAGCTATTTGTGCCTCGGGCTTATTTCCTAATTCAGAGTTGTAATGGGCTCAGGTTAGTAGAAGCCTACAGTGGAAAACTAAAGCACAGTGCAAACTGATCTCTCCGTGGTTGCTAATTTATCTTCTAAGACATTTGCAAAACCTGTCTTCTCACTGATTCCAAATATGATCTGTATGGGTACTTGGTGTCAAACCAAAATGGCTCTGTGAGTATGAAATGCAATTATTAATCTCCAAAGAGTGAAAGCAACCTGGTCCATCCTGGGTAGAACCCTAACGTGGTGCCCGGGACAATTCAGGCACATCCCTTTCTGTCTTATAAACAAGATATGGAAAAGAACAGCTTGCCCTAGAAAAAGCAGACACTCAAATGCGAGGCTCACTCAGCCTCTTGGCTTCCTCTGCCTGTGGCATTTGGAAGACACACATGCCCAGGGAGTGTTGAGCTGGATTGTGGTTTGAGGTTGAATCCTGGAGTATTTGAAGCAGACCCAGCTAGAAGGGAGGAGTAGGAGCAGGAGGACTAGGCATGCTGGTCTGAATCCAAGTCAGATATGACTGAGTTACAGCCAAAGAAATAATTCAAAGACCATCACCAACTCCAAAGACAGGGAAGTTGGTGCAAGTGACGGGTGAGTCCACGGCTGAGCAAGAGAACGTAACCAGGCAGGTCTGAGACGGCGTGAAGATAGTCCTGAGTCACAGGTGAGAGCATCACTGGGGTTTCCTTGGCTTGTCTTCATTTTCAGAAGGCACAAAGGTGCAGGATCGGGGCAGACATGTAGGGGACGTTTGTCTGAAGTGGGGAGTCTCCCCACACCCCATCACTCTACTTCCCCAAATACCTCAAAACTCATTTCATCTAAGACGTTGTTCTTTAAACAAAAAGCTTACCAGAGACTCACCCAATGAATGACTCCTATAACGTGTTACATTTCACAAGAGCCTCGGCACACAGAATGTCATGACTTGAGGACATGAGGCATTTAGACTAAGGGCTGGCAAACTTTTTTTTTTATAAAGGATTGGATTGTAAATGTTTTAGGCTTCGTGAGACAAGACAAAATCAAACATATGGTGTAGGTACCAATAAAAGAAGAGATAAAATAAATTTCCGCAAGATTTTTCTTAACAAAATTCAAATTATGGCATCATAATTTAGTTTTTGTTTGTTTGTTTTGATATTACAGGCCTACAAATGAGATCAATGGAATTCCTTGAGGAGATAACATTTTGCTTATTGGAAGTTCAAAGTTAGTTCCCTAGAATCAAATTAATCCCAAATGTTCATCCCTAAAGGGGTTCTCAGCCTGTGCTGCCACATACAAGCAGCAGGGTCTGGATCCGGCCTGGGGGCTGCAGTTTGCCAGCTCTGGGTTTAGACCGATCTGCCTATTACAGATGTGAATCTGCACGTGAATCTCAGGGACTTCAGGGCTGCCTGAAATGACAGGTCTCAGGGAAACGTGACAAGGGGTCCCTGAGGGGCGTGGTTTCCAAGGCAGGAGTTTCCTGGAGCCACGCCTCCATCCGGGAACCCAGGTGTTTCAAAAGTAAAGTCCTTGGTCTGGGTGTCCCTCTTGCCGGCTGGGTGGGAAAGCCAGGTGGGGCCTTTGTCCAGAAAGCCGTCCGGAAGCTCTGGGAGGAGGGGCTCTGTCACTCAGAGTTGCAGACCAAGCAGCCAATCCGGTATCAAAGTCAAAGATCAGTCACTACGGAGGGTTTGAAAGAACTCCTCTCATTGGAATGGGGCGGGAGTAACTCGGGTTAAAATTCAGGGGCTACTCACCTGCAGGGATTCCTGCTCTGGGTCCCCTCAAGGGCAGTGTGGGCGCTGTCTGTCTGTCTTTCTCTGTCTCTCTGCTTCATAAATCGCTTTTCCACACCACTCTTTGGGTCCATGGTATTTATTCGAACAGCAAACTCACTGTGCCTCTGGGGTCCTTTTTCCCATTCTTGGGGTTAGCCAGGTCAGGAACCTCTGCGGAACCGGGAGGGGGCTGGGGACATTCCCACGTGGTTGACGAGATGTCCTGTCGGTATCAAAGTTTCAGGTTGTCCGTGCTGCTTATTTTATGCGCCCATCTGCCTAGGCCACGGCACCCGGATACGTGCTCAAACACTATTCTGCTCACATATTATTACATGTTCAGTTTCTGCGAGGGCGTTTCAGAATATGATTAATTCTTTAGTCAGTGAACTTTGAGTAAAGCTGATTGCTTTCTGCAGTGTGAGTGGGCCTCATCCAAACATTTGAAGGCCTGAACAGAACAAAAACTGTCCTCCCTCAGCAAGTGGCCTTCAGAAGTGCCACACGGGCCCCTCCCGGGGTCTCCAGCCTGCTGGTGGATCCTACAGACTCTGGACTTGCAGTCCCCATAATCATGTGAACTAATTCCTTAAAGAAATTGTGTGTGTGTGTGTGTGTGTGTCTCACACTCCACACACACATGCACATGCACACACGTTTCTCTGGTGGTCAATACATTGCCCCAAATAATCGTCTTATGGGAAACGCTATGAAAAATAGAACCCAAACACATGCACACACTTATGTTGACCGTGGGACAATTGTGTGAAGAAGGGAATGCAGCTGTCACAGTTCTTAGCAATGAAGGTAATGTATTCACATTTATTAATTGCCTACAAGATAAATATTGCAAATGTCATAGCAAATAAGCCTGACCCAGCCCTGCCCTCTCATTGCTTATATTCTAATGGAAAAAATAAAACACGGCAACAGAAAAAGAAAGTGCTGAATAGACAAATAATAAAAATGGATGAAAGTGCTATGTAAAAACAAAAACGAAACTGACTGAGAGGGGCAGGAAAGGCCTCTCAGATGGCCAGGTCTAAACAGGGAGGACTTCCTGGTATTCCAAGTCTAAACAGGGAGGACTTCCTGGTACTCCAGGTCTAAACAGGGAGGACTTCCTGGTACTCCAGGTCTAAACAGGGAGGACTTCCTGGCACTCCAGGTCTAAACAGGCAGGACTTCCTGATACTCCAGGAAGGAGCAAACTTGAAGCTGAGGAAACAGCACAAACAAACAGCTCTGAAATGGAAAAGGTTTAGATGCTTCCCTGACCTGGATGATCAGTGAGCGGGGGATGTGCAATGAGACAAAACCTTGAGCAGTGGTTGGGAATTTGGCTCCAGGGATGGTGGTGATGGGCAATATAGCTTGGAGACTCCAGCCCCTGCCCTCTGCCTGCACTCACGGCAGGTTCCTCCTGAAGGTGGACTGGGAGAGGAATGTCCCATTCAAACGAACCCCAAGGGAAGGGGCTCATGGGGAAAGCTTTCTCCCAGTGCACCCCGGCTGCAAGCAGAGCCTTCCCGACCCCCATGTTCAGACCTCCTCCCTGGCTATTTACTCAGTGAGTCAGTCTACAGAGAAACACTTAAAATGTCAGCTGGACTTCAGTAGGAAGGGTCAAGCCCAAAGGAAGTTACCCCAGATTTTTAGGCAATTACGACAAATTCAACTGTTTGTATTCAGCACCTAACTCAGTGCATATCATATAAGGCTCAACAAACCATACAGAAAGTTACTAACGAAGCAGCGTCCTTGTCCGTTGTAAATACCTGGTGCTCACTGTCTTGCACCAGGAAGAGTTAGAACACAGATACTCAGAGAAAGGTTAGAAGCGGAAGTTTTATAGGCAAAAGAGAGAAAGGAGAATAGCCCTGCCCCCAATGAAAGAAAGGGGGTTGTGAAAGGGAAGACCAGCGGGCCAAGTTTCACAGGCAGGGTGAGGAGCAGTGCCTGATTCACGCAGAGCTTACAGATCGGTTTGATTAGGTGTGATGAGGTTTACATTGCAAAAGGCCAAGGCTGGCCAACCCACCCTCATCTTATTCTGCAAATAAGATTTCCACTTGACCGGTGCCGTCTTATCTGCTCCTTACTGTACACATGGTTGGCAAAGGGAAGGGGAGAATTGCAATTCATGACGTGGAGGCAGACAGGGTGGTCTTTGGTATGTCCGAAGAACAAAGAGAAGGCTGGAAGAAGAGGAATGTTCTGTGTCATCCTGGGAGAAAGTTCTTCGACATTAGCAACATTTTGGGGGCCGGTAAGGTCCTCTTGGTGGGTGACTGTGGTGGGCAAAACTGGACCTTGATTTGCAGCTGTTAGCTCACCTGCTATGGATAAAAGTGTTCTGGTTATAACAGGTGGTTTCAGCCCAGACTTGCGGAGGACAGCATTTCTAGGGAGATGTTATGTACCCTGAGTGCCTTTTACTCAGACCCCTTGTCTCTGATTTAGCTGGGTATTACAAGAATGACCCAATCGGGATAACCAACTTTCACAATCTTAACCCAAGAAATTTAGCATTGAGTGTAAGAGTGCGTCATTCTCTTAAACTCAGAGGAAAATGTGGCCTGTGGCAGAGCTGGGTCCTGAGAGCTCAACCCTGAGCTGTGTTTGATCGGGTCACTGTGTGAGGGGTTCTCCTCGGTGTAAACATCCGCATTGGACTCCTCTGCGGACCTATCATCAGACTCAAAGTGGGTCTTCCCGAAACCAGTTCGCCTTCAAACCTGACACTATTTGTAACAAAGCAGGTCAAGTGATTATCTAATGCTCTAGAAATGTTCGAGGCACCCTGGACAAATGCCAATCTTAAAGTTTTCCTTTTGCCTTATTTCTCTAAGGAACACCTTTTCAAATCATGAAAGCAAAAGTGATCTCAAAAACCATTTTTAAAATCTATGTTAGAAGAAAGATCTAATAAAGTTCTAGCTACTAAATGACTGTTTTTTGGAATGTTTACAGCTTTGAAGGGAACATCACACGTTTTGAGATCCCACTACTTTATTTCCATAAGCCTGAGGCAAAGCACGTCCCCACTGCTGTGACGTCAGGGGACACGACCGCCTGGCCCGAATCCACCCTAACGGCCTTTAAACAATGCTCAGCACCTCCGAAGCACAAAATCCATGCTCCTCATTAGTCACGCCACGTCCTCTGAATATTCTGAGCTCACCAGAACCAGTAGATCTGTTTCAGGTTTCTCCAAATATTTGGAAACTCGACTTTAGAGAAAAACAGAAATTTCATGTCAAGTGTCCTGAGAACATTAATAACAAAAACCAGAACAATTTTCTTAAAGTTTGTGATTCAGTTTTATAAATATGAGATAAGTAAATACTTCTGGATATCATTTAGACATTAACGTGTAAACTAGAAAAGGCAGCAACAAATCTGGATGTTTTTGACTTTTGTTTCTCAACTTTTAAAAGATTAAATCATGGGATTTTATTGTCTTCTGGTCCCTCTAGGGAAAGCAATCTGCTCACACTTTTCTGAAAGACACTAATGGTGGAGTGAACTATTGAGAACGATTAGAGGAAATGGCACCCGGAGCGTGGCAGAAGGTGAGCATCAGCGCTCACAGGAAACCCCAGCAACGGCCTTAGAAGTTCCAGCCATTTCACCGTTCGGAGACCAGAGCAGTTGTGCATGGAGCGCACGGTGCGGGGCACGCAGAGCTCACAGAGGCTTTCCTGTTTTTGTTGTGATCTGCACTGTATTCTGAAGGTTTTCCTTCAGTTGCATTATCGTACTGTAGTTTGTGCACACGTCTTGTGGCATCCATGGGGCCTCTCCTTCAGCCTCTTGTGAGCAGATCCACCCAGCCGAGGTCATGTTGCTTTCTCTTAAGAATCAGAGCTGCAGGGATCCTGTTCTCTCTGTTCTTTCAGCAGGGCAGATGCCTCCCAGAAGGAAACCAGATGCCAGAACTGTGGGGTGCTCTTGATCAGCATCAGCCAAGCTGTAGGAGCTGAAAGAGGAAGCTTTGCTCAGGGGAAGCTCCATGGGACAATGTCTTTAATGTCAAGAAGGTGCACACTGAGAAGGAGAAAGCCATCCAGGCTGAAAGAGGGACTGGCACCGGCGGGGAGCGTCCCACGCTCTGGAGAGCACTGTCTCCGGTGGGCAGGCAGCTGGCTCGCTCAGTGTTCTGCCTTTTCTGTTACTGGCAGCGTGCCACCAAGTGGAATTTTGTGTCCTGAAGGCTTCGAGGTCTCTACTCAGATCGGGGTCCCGGAACAAGCTCAGGAAGATTTTGCCTAGCTCCCCTGGACTCAAAAGCAATGGTACCAATTTCTCAGTCTGACTTAATACTTAGGGAAATGCCATATTTTTGGACCCTTCATTTAAAAAAGCATATGTATTTACCAGTGCTGTCTCCTTGAAATAGGGTGTAAAGAAGGGGTTGGAGTTCTTGAGATAAACAGAAGAAACAGCGTTCCAGTAAGATGATTTAGAACAGGCAAAGGCCTTACACCTGGGAAGATGGAAGGACGAAGGAGTGGAAGGAAAACCAGCATGATTGAAGAGCAGTAGCTCATGAAAGGTGAGACCAGACAGGACAGAAGCACATCGTCTTGGGCATGGAGGATATCTTAAGACACCTGTGCTTTACCCAAAGAGAAATGGCAAGACATTAAGATGAATAAGCCAGGGGCTATTCTTCAGACCATGAGACCCCAGCCAGCTGCCCATCCAGAAAACAAGTGTCTGCTTTGTGAGCAGTTCGCTCCAAGTGTGGAAGAGCAGATGGGTTTTTCTGCTTTTGCTACAAAGCTTACACACCTACACACTTCAGGAAAATACACCTTCTCCACGCTCGCCAACCTGAAACCTCCTCTATGCCCTTCTTACCCTTTTGAAATAATACCAGATTCCAAGAAATACCACAGGAGCAGGGCAGAGAGGTTGCACTTCAAGGGCAGATATAGTATGAGTCTCAGCCGTACCACAAATTGTGACAAAAAGGACATCACCAGACCTCTTCTTTTACCCCCTCCCTGTGCAATGAAGCAGCTTGCCTCTGGGGCCGGAAATAGTTCTGTGCTCAAGGTGGAGACAAACCGAGTTTCGGACAATTGATAATCCATGCAATCAAAATTTTAATTATTATAGTCTTTCTCTGATAATTGAGACAAGTTTTCCATGTGAGCTTAGTTTCTGTTAAGGGTTTTAACTGTGGGAGAGGAAAAGTCCTTGAAAGTCCTGTGACTCATTGGTAAAATAAGAAAGTGCTAATGAAAGGTGAGAAACATCGAGAGAAATTAAAAGACATTAAAAATCTATTGTCATTCCTG